CATTCCTGAGCAGACTTAGTCACCAAAAGTGAAGATTGTTTTCCTTTGATCTGGTTTCTCCACTTTGCCTTTTTAGTCACAAGAGAGAAGTGAGCAATTTCAGAGTGCAAGCATCAAATATTTTTGGTGTCTACTCCAGGGTGAGATGATTCACGCTTTGCAAGTGTCTGTTCCTCTCCACCAGGACATCTCCCTGACCAGACTGGAGACAGATGCTGACCCTGTGGAGGCCTAGGTAGAAATTAATTTTCCCTGGCAACTTTGCCCAGTCACTATTGCTCTGTCTCATGCATGCTGAGGAATGATGGTCTTGAAAAGCTTGGGGGTGGCTTCTGTTGGGTATTATCAAYCAGATCTGGGGGAGGTGGATGCCTGGTAAAACTTTAGGAGCTCTCATGGAGGGTTTTCAAAATTCTTCATTCTCCCTGTCAGATCGTGTCCACACAACCAGCACTTCTGTGTCCAGGAACAAACCAGAGTATATAGTGTACATGCAGTGAAAAAAAAAAAGCAAAAAAAAAAAATTAGGATTTTACCATCTGCTTTCAGCAGTCAGGTACATGCAACCAGTACTTAAATTGCATTTAAGAAAAGGTAAAGGAAGATGAGGARGATGCAGCAGCAGTGAAGGATGCTCTGATGTTCAGCTCCGTGTATATCTGTACTAAAGAGCTACGTTCAGCTAAATACACATTGTACTTCGTGTATGAAAACACACCAGCAGAGCTTGAACTATGTTTTGAACCTCATGGTCTTTCACCTTCTTATGACTCAAATTGCAATTTCCCATTGGCGCTCTTCTGGGGAATTCATCCGTGTGAAGAATTACTGTGTGATATGACACTGTGTGATATGACACTCTTCGGTGTCTGAAATTACCTAGGCTTCTGCATATGCCTTTCCCAATGGACTTTGTGCTTGCAGAGAAGTCTCAAGAGGCCTTTGTGTATCAGTATAATCTGTAAAAACAAATATTTGGTGTGTTCATTCTCTTTCCCTTCTACTTGTCAGTTTAGTGGCAACGCAACCTGCTATAGCTCTGAGGAGAACCAAGTTATCGGATGGAAAGCTGTATTTTGGCTTTTGACTGTGTCAAGGTACAAAGTTACTGGCCTGTTGGGTCTTATACTGACCTTTTTTTGGTCAAAATTGGTTTAATGGGATCTGGGGTTATTCAGCTTTGTTATGAGGTGGAAACACAGATATCAACTGCTGCTTTCTAACCTTTTTTGTGTTTTGAGAAATTGTTTTTAACATGTATACTGCTGTAGACGACACAATAAATGTATTATCATTTTGTAAAAGTCTGTTCTGATATAAAAATTGCACCAAAGAGAACTTTTTGTCTGTGAAATTAGAGGGTAGTGTATTCTTTTCCTGAAGCAGAGGTTCTTTGGGCTAAAAAGGTTGGCTGGCTTCTTAATGGGATGGAGTTGCTGAATTCTGATTCTGAATTCTGGCCAAATTTGTTCCTGGACCAACCATCTTTGCCATCAGTGGGCCATGCACAGTGTTCCTTCTCCAGAAATCAGCAGTGTTTATCTCCCTGCATCAGTAACCAACAGGACTCGGGGCTGATATCACAAAATCAAATGGAACACACTCCTAAATATCTAAAAAGTGAGGAATGAGGTATTTAGGAATGAGGTATTTAGGATTTCCTAAATACCCCTGTGGGTTTGATCCACAGGTTCTCTAGGGAATAAATACTATTCCTACAGGGTATAAAGAGAAGAAATTCTGTTGTCCTCAAACAAAGACATTGCCAATTGGTCAAGGTGGAAAAAGCTTGGGTCTCTCTAACACCTGAAATGCTTCAAGGCTTCAATTTTTTTACAGTCAAAGCAAACCTTGAGAGTTCTGTCATCGGGTTAATTTTGAAAGTATCAGATACATTCACATTACTGGAACAGAGAAATCCACAGAAGATGAGCCATTGCTGGTATTTTCCCTGTCTCCAACCTTTGTTTCAGCTACCATAAGTAGCTGAACTCTGTCCCTCGTGGATCTGTGGATCCTCCACCCAGGCTGAACCTTTGTTATCCCCCCTCATTGTTCAGGCAAAGTACAGGCATTTGGATGGAAAAGTGGACAAACATTTAGTGAAATTGGGGTCAGAGATGTGCCAGGGGAGGAGCAGGGCTGGAGGCTGGAGAACACCATCCCATGGCATTCCTGAGGCAGGACCTGGGATGGAAGGGGGTCTTGGGCCCATGGGCACGGTGGGAAATTGGGAAGGACAGAGCAGATCTGTATATTTTCATTTTTGCTAAATTTTAACTCACTGCAAATACCCTTCACAAGGATTTCTGAGGCAGTCTCAGCCCTTTTTTTGAGGGCTGGGTGACAGGGGACAGGATGTGTCTCCCCTTCCCACCCCGTGCAGAATGGCTGCACCAGTCAGCATCTTACAAATCACAGAGATCAGCAAATGTAGAGCAGACAATCTGGGAAAAGCCTAATTTCTAAAGGTCACATCCAGCCTACGTGATTTTTTTTAGACTCCTTTTATAATTAAGAAGCAGAGAAAGAAAAGCCACCTCCAACATTATTTCAACCACTCTAAAATCCCTATGTAAATATCCACTATTTTTTAAGACAAAATACCACACTAAAGCATGTTTGCCCTAAAACCCAGACACCTGGTTTAAATGAGGAAAGCATCATTTAATGGGTCTGTCAACACACCAAGGAGCAGCTACATGGAATTCAGATGTATTTTCTGTAATTGGACAAGCCTTACTCAGATACTCAAATAATTCTTGCTCTGGGTGCCTTAGGCAGCCTCAGGGAAGCTCTGAGTGTGCAAAACATGTAAAGTCACCTGCTGGAAGGATTTTTTTTTAATTTGGAGCCAAATCAACCAAACTTTCTGTAAGAAACATGCTGACATTGCCAGAGTTAAAAATCTGCTCTCAGTGAGAAGTTCCAGTTACCTTAATAACCTGTCTTTGCTGCAACGCCGTAAAAAACAGCTGTAACTGGAGGTTTTGATCTTTCCAGGGTGTCATGGAGTTTGCAAAGGGATTTAAAAAGAATTCTTGGACACTTAAACTCTGCAAAAAGACACCAGGGGGCTGGAGGAAGAGAAATCAGGTGGTTTAATTGGATGATGTGTTGCAGGCGCTCTTTGGGAGTCACTGAAATCTCTGATGAAATGTTGGGAAACTCCTGGCTTTGAGGGTTGAAYACATCCTGCTCCAGGAGGTGGCAGTGGCTGCACACGAACACACAGCGCCGTAAAACACGGCTTGGGACAACTTTTCCTGCTTTTTCGACCTTCTGTGAAACAAAACATCCCTGCCTAGAGCTTTCCCGACTCCCAAATGCACCCGCKTGTGCTCAGGTGTGTCACCAAAACCGCTTTTTCACAGACCAAATAAAACCTTCACCCCAGGATTATTAATCTTTTATTTCACAAAGGCTGAAATGAAATAYCCAAATTGACATAAGTTAAATTTACAAACTCACGACAGCTGTAATGGCCACTTGCATTTTGTAAATGTACATCGTCAGTTTTGTACACAAATTGTCATTACTATGCTCAACAACCAAACGCAGGGACAAAGGTTACTTTTAGAAATAAAACTGGTAAGAAAGTCAGAATAGGCAAAACTGCTCCACACAACAAACATATGACATTGTGACAGATGGGTTAAAAGCCTATTTAATAAAAAACTTATCTGAATCATTTATAGAAACCTGGACAATTCATTTCTGCTCTAACAGAACAAGAGGTGAAGCATCTAAATTCYGGAGGATTCCCGGAGTCAAATATCCATAGACCTAAATAATTAACCAAGAGCAGAACAAACTGAGGGACTGGAATACTGAGGGGGTTTTTTAAGCTAAATTGATACTGCAACCCAGAGTGGGAGTGAATGGCTGTGKTCTCCAGCAATGCTCCCAAACCTGCTGCAGGTTCTCCTGGGAATGCTCCTGTCTTGAGCCATTTTGTGTACCTTGAGTGCCCTCTCTTCAATTTTGGAGAGGCTGAGGTCGAGTCCAGCCCAGTCCTGAGGAAGAGGAAGGTCACCCAAAGGAGAGGTGTAARCACAGCCCTGCTTCACTCTGATTTCCTGGAGCAGACTTTGCTTTCCCAGAGCTCCCAGCTGGGTGTGATCCTGACCCCTGAAACTCCACTGAGTGGGGAATAACGAGCTGAAAAAAAGCTGAGCAGGACTGAGACATCCACAGCTATCACAGCGGCTTAGAGCTCAAAGGCAGAGCCCCAAAATGCACAAAAGCACTAAAGGACAGTTTGATTGGGTGCCTCATCGATCTTAGGAGCTTAGGAAGGTCTGTCCTACAAAAAACAACATCTGGGCACTAAGATAGGTCTGTAAGTCGTTCTGAGCACAAGGCAGCCTCGGCTGGCACCTGGCACTGGGTTTCCTCTAATTTATTCCTTGTCACATCATCTGCCTAATATTCTGCTGCTCCATAGTTTCCTTTAGACAGGAAAGGGTCTGGGATCCTCCTAATTTAATCTCTGTTCAACAGGCATAGACGGAAGAAAGAAATCAAGCAGATATTTTGTGTCACTTGTTTGTGTCACTCAAGACACTTTGAGATTCCTTTTAAATGAGATTTCTATGAGTAAGTGCTTGGCAGGTTTCTGTGCTTTATTTCCATTAAATTGTCTCAAGCTGTAAAAGATCAGAAATCATTATGCAAAGCTTGGCCATCAAAGAACTCTTTTGGATGAAGATTAGGAATATGCTCCTAAATATTGGAAATTTTGGGAAATACTAGAATATTACAAACATTCAGGGACTGGGAGGATTTAATGTATGTTCTTTTTTTGAGTACTAACCTGTTGACTCACTCTAGGTCAAAGTCTGGCTTTTCACAACAAAGTAAGCTAATTTTATGCTTTGGGAGAGAAAGAATCAGGGTTGTGTTACAGATCTGTACCAGGTGAGAAAAGCTCGTCCTGCTCRGGACAATGAATTTACAGAAGGCTCCTGACATCGTGGAAAGCTACACAGGATCCAGCTGGCCCCCTCTTAGATGGGACATGGCAATGTCACAGCAACTTGTCCTGTTGGGAGAGCTCAGACAGTGGTGACCCCATCCTGGAAGAGGGAGGTTCTCCTTTTGGGGCTGATTTTGTCCAGCAGGGATAACTGCGTGACGTAGTTGACTGGGCTGGTTTCTCGGGACAAAGTGCCCTGTTTGTGGGTGAAGGTCAGGTATTCCTGGTACTGCCACTTGCACAGCTGCTTCTTCAGCTCAGTTTGAACCTACAGGAAGTTAAAAACACAAAGAATGAAACTTAATGAACATTGAAGGTRAAATATGCCGAAAAGTCTGMCTGASAAYTYAGCCCAGATAAATCAGGATTAAGCCTTAACRATTTTATTAAGAACTTGAACTCTGWCATTATTMATTTTGAAAATAAATAGACTTAACTTCAAAAATTCAGAGAATTGCAGAAATACATTTGGAGGCCAGAGCTCCATGAAAGTCACTGACAATATTTATAATTTTGGTGGCCCCTATTCTGCCTTTATTTTCCCTTTATTATCCCTGTTAACCACACAGGGGCAGCCCCTGTGTACAACTTTACAGATGGCTCTCCAGATCTTGCAAGAATCTAATAAATCAAAGAGAGATTTCTTCCACCAATCCAGTGTTCCATCACTATCCCAGCGAACTCAAGGCTCTCCAGCACTCCTCAGTTTAATCCATATTGATAACACCTTGCCAGGCAGCAGCACAGTCTCTCACATTGTCACAGATACCAAAGAAACACACCCAGAGAAAATATTAATTAATTTTTATGGTTGCAGGGAACCGTAACAGATGCGCTGCCAAGTGGTRACAAATGGCCAAGCTGCTCCAGGAGCAGTTATCCCTAAGAAACATCGACCAAAGCCAGCCCAGCTTCATCTGGGGGCAGAGATCAGGCCCTGCCTGTCCCTTTTTAACACCTCCTGGATTTCTGTGTTGTAAAGTACAATATTCAAGCTATTAGAAGTCTGTTGAAGCAATTAAAAGGCTTTTTGCAGTGTCTGTGATACAGAAGGCAGGTGGGAAGCAAAATATTCTGTATTTACAGCTAAGTCTTGAAGGCACTGTCTCAAAATGGTCATTATAAATTGTTTTCCTAGGTAACAAATGTATTTTAGGAATTATTCACCCTTGGGTGGGATTGTTCTATGAGAATTGTCCATGTTTAAACCACTGCAGAGACTGAGGCACCATTTTTGTGTCATTCTCAGCTAACTCACTCCCTTTTCTGAGAGGTGATTTTACATTTTCTCATCACTTTGGATTTGTTCTACMCTTTTGGGAAAAGCACCAGCAAATTTAGTTAGGATTTTAAACGTAGGCTCACTGCATTCTACTGCAGGGAATTTCCCCAAAATCTACCAGTGTTATAAAACCAGGGAAAAAAGTGTTTGAACAAAACTCCTGACTGCACAAACAGACCTGGTAAAGAGAAAGGGAAAAAGAAAGGGACGAGAGAAGGGGAGAGAAGAAAGAGGAAAGGAGAAAGAGGAAAGGGAAAAAGAAAGGGGAAAAAGTAAAGGGAAAAGGGGAAAAAGAAAGCAGAAAGGAGAAAGGGAAAAGGGAAAAGAGAAAGAGAAAGGGAAGGGGGAAAAGAAGAAAATCACTAGGAGAAAATGAATCTGGAGAAAGTGAAGAACTCTACAAGATTTCCATTGAGACATCATCATGACAACCATCAAACATAAACCTGAAAAGAAGTCCCCTGACAGGAAACTTAGCAACCATTTTTAAAGGGTCATTGCTTCAAAGTTTATTGTGTGTCCTCTTGTCAGAACTGCATGAATACAAATAACATCAACAAAGGTACCAAGGGACAAAAAAGATATGGGGATGTCATCGTTTCAGGAGCAGATCAAAGACAGATCTGTTCTGAAAATAGGAGAAGAAATTAGAAAACATGAGGTTTTGATAATCTCACATACTTGCTACTCACCTCTGCGTTTGAGAAGCAATATAGGAGAGCAACAACAAAACCCTAGGACAGGGAGGGTAGGGAGAGAAAAAACATATGGATTTGAAATATAGAATCAATGACAGATTTTCAGGTTTCATGCACAGTTTGTGTAAGACAATAAAAAATACATATTTTCCATTTTTCTATTGGCGTTCAGGCAAGGCGACACTGTTTATCGAGTTTTCATAACAGAATTAAATTCCTCAATGGACTGGTGATATTTTATATATATTATTGCCCTTGTACAGTGACAGCAAGGATTAACTTGCTCTTTACTGGATCCTAAAAACAAATTCCCCCTCAGATGAGGTAATCATTGAAGAGGGATCATTTGAAGCACACATCAATGTGGACAAGTYGTGGTGGGGTACAGGGAAAAGGGATGGGAAAATATCTCAGCTGGTCAGTACTAAATGTACCATACACAGGCCCTGGCCCTCTCAAATCCATGCTGCTGTTCTGAGTAGTGGTACAGGAAAATAAAMAATGAAATATTGACATGGTTCACTGCTGCTAAACGGTAAGGGCAGAGCAGGTTGTTTTATTCCCCCATTTATGATTCTTCTTATCATTATTACACATGAGATAGTTTTCAGTGAGTTCACCTCAATCTGCAGACTCACGGCATTCTGTCATTGTTATTCAACAAAAGTAGACATTGTATTTATTTCTGATTATGATTATTAATACAAAGTCTGACTCAGAGATTTCAAATAACAAAGGAGCAAACAGAAGGACTGATGAAGGAGAGAGATGGAATGTGTGTGTTGAATTTGGACACGTTAATAAATCCTACTCTAATAACAASCTGAAGTGTGGTGTTTCAGACCAAACCTCTCAGGGCTGTTAAATGTTTTGTCCATCTTACCTGAAAAGAGCCCAGGCCCAGCTCGATGTACAGCCGAGCTTCCAGACCAGTGCTCTCTGGGAAAAACGCAAATACGATGTAGTGCACCCCGAAGAGGGGGATCAGAAGCAACGTGGACTTTGCAAGTCGCCTGGAAAAGCAAGAATTAAAGAACAATGCACTGTTAGAAACACAGAATGAGTGATAGTAATTATACGTTGGAGCTTTTTTTAATTCAGAGTACAGCTCCAAATGCAGGCAACTGCATCCAGAGAAGTTATGGAAAGGTCCTCTGACTGCACTGATGGGATCCCCAGGGACTGTGAAGGGGCTCATAAACAGCCAGGACTAGGTCTGGTTATCCTGTTATTGCAAAGAATTTAAAGCAAATTATCTGCCTYTTTCTCCATGTGGTCATTTGTGTGGAAAGGACTGGCAGTGAGATGGGTTCATCCCCTGACATTTAMACTCTGAGCTTTTGAAGTTTCATACTTTGTACTTTACTTTTCTCTTTATCCCCGACGCATCCACCCTACCCTTTTTCCCCTGAAGAAAAAGCAAGATGTGATATTTGGGATGAAAAAGAAAGTTCRCATTGCCTTCTATTCGAAGGGGAGCAGAACTTTCTCTTCTCCTGTCCATAAAACATTTCTTAGAGCAGTTAGAAAAAGCTCTGTTAAAAGACCCAGAAATACTCACACAAAGTGACTTGAATGACTCCCTCCTCCCTCTTGGGATTTCAATTTATGGACTAGAATCCTGATCACATTAATAAATATAATAAAGTTAATCTGAAAAGACAAGAAAARATCTGTAAATTTACTACAAACCAGGACCTTCTTCAGTTGATATCAATAACTGAAAATCCCCACTTTTAGGAATTGCGCTGCTATAAACCCATATATATCTCTTCTCTGCTCAAATCAATAGCTTTAGAAATAAACATTGTCTTTCCCACCAATATRTAGTTGTACATAAAGCATGATGAAAGTTATGTTGAATTAACRTAGACCTACATTTTATGTCTGCTATTAATGTCTGGTATTTCTGATCAGAGCTTGGCAGATTTTAACTGGAAGAGAATACACAGATTTTACAGGATCTAAAGAGTGCTCCCTGCTCCCTTCATTGTTTATGACAAAGATTATACCAGATACAAACCAAAAMAACAGACTGCTCCCTCCCTGAATTAAGGTGGTAAAAATTTGTGGATAAGGGAGATTTTTTTTTTGTCTGAAGTTGCAATTATAAGAACTCATTTTAAAAGCAYGCTWAATAAAATTACTTACACACAGATACTCAAGGGAAAAGGAAAATACTCACTAATACAGTCAGCAGAATGGGGCCTTTGATGATCCACAAGACAACTCCATTTTCATCATCATCCCAACACCTGGAACAAAAACAAACCCAGTTTTGTTGTCTGTGCCACGGGAGCTTCCCACAGCACACAAGAGCTCAGGAAAGGAAAGTGGTGGTCACCAAGTTTTAARTCACTGTCTAAATGTCCCTGGTTTCCTTGTAGTGCAATTTAAGAAAATTTAATCAGTAAGAATCCCAGACTGAAGAACCAAAGCAAAGTAAAAAAATACATTTTTATTTTCAGGCTTCTTTCTTGCTCTTCTTACAATCTCAACTCAACTTCTTACTCAAATCTCCTGACTTCTGAGCAGGACCAAAACAGTGCCTTTTCCAACTGATGTGAAATGGTCTGAAACCTTCAGGATAGCTGATAGTAAACAATATTTTTGTTTTATTTATATTTGACTCTCGTATTAAAAGATGAAAATAAATAAAATAAAATAAGATAAATGAAACTCAAAAGAAATAAAATAAAAATTAAAAAGAATAGAAATAGAAATAGAAATAGAATAGAATAGAATAGAATAGAATAGAATAGAATAGAATAGAATAGAATAGAATAGAATAGAATAGAATAGAATAGAATAATTGAATGGAAATGAAGAAACGACTTAACAAGACAATGTTGTTCATTTGGGAAGAGCCTTTTTGAAGAGATTAAGATTAGTGATTTATGGTTTGCTTTAACACAAAAGCAGCGATTTTCTCTRAGTACAATAATTTCAACAACTGGGYAATAGGAAACTAAATGAAATTTCAATATGCTGTGTCCAGGTTTTATTAGCTCATGAATGACCATAAAAATCAGAACTCATAAAACTATTTTCTCACTTCTGTATGAGTTGTAAAAAATTGGGGCACAACTTTGGAATGTGAGAAYTTTTCTCCTGTCTTTTCTTTCTCCACAACTTTCCCCCCAACCAGAAGAACAGAACACCATAAAAAAATGGGATATCTTAGTCTTCCTTATCCAAGCTCAGACTTACCCAGTGTTTTGTTGATGGATTCGTGTGAGGACCCAAGTGAACATCACAGCAGTGGGAGCTCCTGAGCAAATCAGTGGAAACACAATAATTGGTTTGAATATCGTGCCCCATGGCAACTTTATTCCAAGCAGGTTCACAGTGCAGCAGGATGGATTAAAGGTCAAATAATGGGTCAAACAATTTTAAATAACTTTATGAAAGAATTTGCAGTTAGGGAAAAGGAAAATAAAGGAATAAAAGGGCAGGAGAATGAAATCATAACAAAGGAGAATAGGGAATGCTGTGAAACTACATTTCCAGAARTAAATGCTAAGAATTACTTGAAGGTTTGGATAGGAATTACAAGCATTTGTAAACTGGAGTAACCATTTATTTAGCTGGGGTTCTTTTATCTTGTGAATCGTGGCAAACAAATACTCYTTTTACAGCAGCTGGAAGAGTTGCATTTTTGTCCCAAAGACTCTACTAATCRCTCCAGACCAATCAGTTGATAAGAATTTCATGAAAAGTTAACTTAATCCAGGATCCAGTGATTTCAAGCATCACATTATTACTGCTTCTCCTTCTATCCTCCTGCATTTATGACTGGGGTTTTTAAGAAGRCCTATAAACCAGAAATTGCTTTTGCTCTCCTCTGTGCAATTGAACTTTCAACGACTAACTGACTTTCAAAGCTGCCACAAAAGGGATTCTAATCTGAAACAGGTGACATTTTCACTGATAAACCTGTACAAATGGTGGTAATAATTTTCTAAGTATCATTTGAGCTATGTAGGAAGAGCCCAGAATTTGTCCTTTCAAATTTCAGCCCTTTATTCAAGTCCTTTAAGCTTGGACCATGTTAATTTCAAATTGGCTTTTTAATTAATTAAAAGAAATATTTACCTCCCTATCACTTAAGATCTGAGTTGCCCATGAGGTGTCTCTCACCTTCCATYGATTACAGAAGGAGATGAGGATTAYCACATCATTAATTGAGTTGTTTGCTTTCTTATCTCAAGTTGGCTGTGATAAATCAAGGGCTGACATTCTGCTTTCACACAGTCCTACTTGGAACAGCTCCAAAAAAAAATTAATAACATTAAATAAAGTCTAAAAATCTGAAGGTGAAGGATAAATTAATATTTATTCAGGATGGTTTGGATTTCACTTCTAAGATGAAAAATGTCATTGCAACGACTCAGTTTGGATGCCTGTATTTCAGGCTTGCCAAGGTGAGACATGGGAGTATCTGAGAGGCACAATAAACAATTCTGAGCAGTGAAAGGAATCTTCATGTATTCCTGTTCTGAATATTAGAGAGAATTTCAATTGCTCTATAGCCTCAAATGATTCCTTAAAACCAGGAGATCTTGGGGAAAAAATAGAATTATTTGATTCCTAGACCTGGACTCACATGATTTAAAATTAATTTGTCAAATTCTGCCAACTTAGTCCCTCAAMCTTCTTTAGTCAGTGGGAAAATTAAACACATTTTTAGGATATTATCCAGCCATATTCCTCATCCTCTTGAGGCCTGGATAATCACTACTGTGGTGTAAATAATTGAGATAGAAAAGGCAGTACAATGGTGTGGCTTTGACATATCAGTATTGGACAAACAGGCAATGTCCCTCAGAAAGGTGACACCTTTGACGGGCTCCTTTCACCTCAAAACACAGATTTTATCCAGTCATGCAAGCAACCAGAAGCACTRAATGGCACAAAGAGGAAGACAGGGCTAACCCCAGCCAGTGAATATGAACCACCACACAAACTTCTTGTTGGAAACGAAGGTCAGCAGCAGCAGGGTTTGCAGGTAGATCCCTTCGATCAGAAGCCAGAAGAAATTGGCCAAAATACTGAACTGGAAGAAAGCCACAGCAGCCTTGCAGGCAACCTGGAAGTGCAGAGRAAGAAAATTCTGTTAGAGCTACTCTTGTTGTGTCTGGTTTCTCACAAATGYAGGCAAAATTCAATGTTATCATGAAATAATGAAGAAATGGCCAGATTTCAGTATGTTTGGGGT